TTGTTTGTTTATATCTCGGCGTGCAACGAGGCTTGGTCTGTGATGAAGACCACCGACCTTATTATTCGATAACACAGCAGCTGTAAACTTCGAGAGGGGGCGGCGTGTGATCTTTGTCGGTTTTCTGTCCAGCGTCATTTTTTTTGTTGTTGTCTCTGCTGCTGTGGCTGGTCGCGAACGAACGGTGAAATTTGGAAACAATTGTCGTGAACTTGAATTAATTGGAGGCCCGAGTGTGTAGGTGTGGGCTTGTGGTAGCTGGGGTGAATCGCTTCGTGTGAGAACGGAATGGATGATGAGCGTTTAGCTTGATGACCGGGTTGGTCGCCGTTAATGGCTGCTCGTGAAGGACGAGGCAAGCAGTGGGATGACAGACTCCCACTCCTAGACTGCGTTTTCGGCTCATGAGGGAGAACAGCTCGCCCAAGCTACTGCTGTAGGGAGGGAGGAGGCCGTGGAGAGGCTTGGGCCGCCAGCGTTATAGTGCGTGTCACAAAACCTTTAAAGCGGTGATAATTTTTTTTAGTCTGACCAAATGGCTGACAGCATTGTTTTAAAGCCAAATGATTAAGGAAAAGGTTGGCGCTTTTGGTTTGCGTACAACAGTGGGCCAAGCAAGGTATCTACCTGGATTTCTGACTCGTTCTCGCGGTGTATGGGGTTGATTGTCGAAGTTGAGGTCGTTGTTTTGGTTCGGTCTCCACTACGCAAGGGCAGTGCTGTACACTTGTAGATGCATCAGAGAGACTGAACCCTGCCCGTCCGTGGTTGAGATCATCGATGATGATGCATTCGAATGCGCTTCCGTTCCATGTAGGTGATCTTTCTACGCCAGTTTTTTGTCTCGTCGTATGCTCTCGGGACACTCTGCATTAGCATATATTTTGTTGATTCAGTTTTGATTCCATGGACTGGTGGGTTCGTTGACTCGTCCTTTAGTTGGACCCAAAACCACCGGTGTCGATTTGAAAAGGCTAGACCTCGGTTGGAAAAGAACCTCCTGGGGCCGGCTGTTTGGCATAGATTTAACTATCGTTGGCGTATACATACATATATGTGCATGCGCGAGTTTCGCGTGATGTTTTTCGTTTTGTTGTTTTTTTCTTTTTTTCCCTGTCTTTTCTTTTGTGGGTCGGCAAATAATTATTTCCCTTCTTGGCGGAAGAATAATTTATATCTTATCTACAGCAGCAGTTGCTTGCTGCCTCCTACGAGCATTGTTTGGCGTGCAAGCTGATTGCTGCTGCTGCTGCTGCGGTTTTTTTTTTCGCCGCGTGCGTGCGTGCGTGTGGTATTTTGTCATGCATATTTGGAAGAAGGCTAGTAGTGCTTATTTCGCTCTTCCGTGCGACTGTGAACGAACGCCATCCATGTCGAGTATCAACCACTCTGCGTGGAGAATGGGAATGGATTTTGCATTGATAGATCGGTTGGTTGGTTAGTTGGTTGGTTCGTTGGTTCGTTGGGTAAACTACTTGGCCGCTTGAGAGTTGTGGTGGTTGCATTTATTTATTATCCTGTCTTGCCTGTTTTCGAGTCCGGTCTGCACGTACGTTTTATTTTCCTGTCTTGCCTGTTTTTGAGTCCGGTCTGCACATACGTTTCAGATGGAGAATGAATGAAACGTTGATATTTTCTCTTTCTAAGTTGCAGCGACACCTTCCTACCTAACTTGATGGCTCTTTTGCAGGACTGACTGCTTTGCTTGTGTGTGCACGCTCAGGACCTTCAGCTCGTGCATTTGGCAAACTATGTTTTTATACCTGCTGAGAGCATTCCACCCACATTTTTGCCTGCGTGCAGTGGCGTGGAGATCCGAGCACGTAACGACGCATGCATGCATGCGTATTATTTTGGAGCACGCACAACAAGCAGTGAGTGTGCTGATGACGAAGAATATTGTCAGTCAGTCCTCGGCGGAGGGAAAACTGCCCTCTCTTGGTCGAGTCCTGGAATGAATGGCCCTCGCGTGGTTGTCTCCAACTCGCTCCCTGGGGGGGAATGGACAAATCACACGAAAGAACAGCAGTCGGCGTTATTTTCAACCATCTTGCTATTATTTTACACCATCTATGTATCTGTCGGGAATGCTATCCACCTCACTCTTGTGCCTGGTGGAAAAAAAGTGTGTACTTCCTCGACTTGGTTGGGTGTGGGCGATACCCCAGGCCCACCACACACGCCGCAATGAGACTGGTGTCTTTTCGTTGGTCAGCCGGTTTGCGCTGTCGATGTTACAAATAATAATAAATAAACTGCTGTGTTTTTCTGTTTAAGTTTTTGGGTGTTGCTTCCGGACGAACACATATAATTCCGACATGGACCGGATCAACTACAAAAGCAAGTACAGACACATATACACATACATCACGATCGACTCCTGTCTGTGTGGTATTATCTTAAAGAAAGGGTAGTCTCCCTACATGCTAAGCTTAAAGTTTCTATAGACCATGGCATTAACCGGGACCCAGTGAGGGAGAGGCTAGGCTATTCTCCGGATCAAAGACAGAAACGGTAGCAACAGAAGAAAACTGCACGTACGTACGTGTCGATGAAGGCTGCCACGTTGTTGCACTCCTAGTTGTAGTTGTAGTTCGTTTTGGAGTGCTTTCACCGTCATCATCCAATCCTTTCTTTGCTTCCAACTCCATCGTTCTCACTATCGTTTTCACAGCAACTAACTTTTCGACATTTTTTCTCTGGTCCTGCGCCGTTTGTTTGTGGTGGGGAAGGTGATCTGGCTCGAAGCTCTTGCTCGCGTGTGTGTTTGTGCACGGATGTATGTCATTGTGTGTGCTCTCGCTCATGATCGCCAAACAAACGCGTGCACGCAGTACACGCCCAAGAGAGCACCCGCCCGAACCGTGCGCCAACCCCAAACAAACGCATAAGGTGAAATATGGTACTATTGCATGGGTAGATGTAGGCTGAACGACTTCGCTCAGTCTGCCACAGGTGGTGTACTGCTACGCGTTCTCTCGATGGGGCGAGGGGGAAGCGTGCGGTCTCGGTGCGCTTGGTGAAGAGTCCTCCACCAAGCGACGCTCTGATTGCCACTCCGTGCATACACCAAACGTTTACCCCCTGCGTTGGCCCTGCGGCTGGCGCCTCGCTGGTTCACGGACCATTCCGCAACCCCGTCTGGAAGCTTCGCGCCGGCAAAATGAAGGCACGGTACGAAGAGAGTGCATTTCGGGCAGCGTTCCCTGCCTTTTTGCTGCCCCCGTGGGGGTGACACGCTGCTGTTGTTGTTGTGTTTGCTGGGCTCAGCCTGGACAAAGCTGCCCTGTTCGCTCTGGAGTTTCCGATCCGCGATCTTGGCGGCCTCCCTAGGCTTCGTGACTCGAATCATCCAATCGTACAAGTCCGCCTCGGGAACGCCATCCCCGCCCACCCCTCCTTCCCTGTCCATCAGGTGCTGCACCCGCTGCCGTTCCTTTTCCTCTTCCTCTCGGCGAGACCTGTCGAGTTCCCAATCGACGGCTGCCTCGTGACCATCGGCCGCCGCGATGGCCAACAGCTGCGCCAGGTCCGCGAAGCCTCTCTCGAACGCGTACGCTCCGGCGACCTTGCCGTGAATGTCCGTCCGGGCTGCATCGGCCTTGTGCCGCAGGAGAATGATCACCATCTTGGGGTCGCCCGCCGCGGCCGCTGCCATCAGCGCGGTGCGGCCGTTTCGGTTGGAATAGTTGGGATCGGCCCCTTCTTGGATGAGCGAACGCACCGAACTCGACTGCCCTCGATACACGGCGGAGATTAGCGCCGTGTGTCCGGTGTCGGTCTCCGTGTCTGGAGCGGCGCGACCCTCGTGCAAGATCGAGACGGTTAGGAGGACCTTTGATCGAATCTGTCCCAGCTGGAACTGCGTCACGTCTAGAAATTCCGAAAGGTCTCCATCTCTTGCTGACTCGGATGGCACCCCCGGCAGCGGCTCCGGCAGGGTCTGGTTGTGCTCTTCTTCCGTTGCGGTGGCAGGAATCGCGGGCGTCGGTCTAGGTTCGCCTTGTTTTCTCGAAGACGTTGGCCGCCTGCGGCTACTCGCAGACGATAACGGCCGGGTGTCGCCGCTAGTCGCAGACGACACCTGCCTGCCGCTGCTGCTGGCCATCGCAGGCCCCGGCCTACTACCACCGCTGTTTGAAGCCACGGAGGTTGTCCTAGAGTTCCTTTTCGAGTCGTCTTGTACCGTTTTGCCGGACGAAATTGCGTCCAGCATTCGCTGCTCTGCGACCCGAAGAGCGTTCTCCGCGTTCATGTCCGCGAACGTGTACACCCCGCGGTCGCCGAACGCTTGGGTCTCCTGCAGCCAGAGGCCGAAAACACCCCACCCTGCTTTGGCGGCATGCTCTCCGGCCACGTGCCCTTGGTGGCACTTCACCGCGGGCTTGGCGCCCAGCCGCATCAGGCACCGCGCCATGGCCTCGTTGCGGTGGATCGCCGCGATCGCCAAAGGCGTTAGGCCGCGGTTCACGCTGCTTCGGTGGTTCAGCGCCCTGGTCGCTTTCATGTCGCCGACGACCTTGTCCGCTCGGAGAGTCTCTACGAGGAACTGCGCGATGTCCCTCCTGCCGTGGCGGGAGGCGATGCTCATCGCCGTCCAACCCGAGCATCCTTCGACCTCGACGTCTGCCCCTTCCTCGAGGAGGGCGTCCACCATCGCGTAGTCGTTGCGCTTCACCGCCCACATGAGAGCCGTCATGCCCTTCGAGTTGCTGTGGTTTATGTCCGCTCCCGCAGCCAGCAGTCGTTGGATAACCGGAATGGATCGCTTCACGACGGCGGCCATCATCGGGAAAAGCCCGCTGCGCAGTTCGGTGCTGGGGTCGGCTCCCGATTCAAGCACGACGCAAACACGGTCCATGTCCTTGGCATCCAGCGCGTGCCTCAGATGCTCTGATCGATGGCGGTGAGAAAAGGTCTTGAGCAAGGCTGCATCGTGGGGAGCGATGTCTACTCGCCACTGCTGCCGCCGTTGGGACTCGTAGATGAGCATCTGCTTTCGGTGGAAGTCGGCCACCTTCATCTGAAGGAGGCGGCAGCGATGGTCGATGCTGTGCACCGGGCCGGTCGCGGGCACCACGCCCAGGCGAACACATTCGCGCCTCACCTGTTTCGCCAGAAGGTCCGAGAGAGGCGAACGACCGGCATGAGCTATCGTTAGTGGCACTCGACTCTCGAAAGGCGTGGGTGGTGAACGGACAAGGCAAACTTTAGATGGCATCCGGGCAACATTGAATCGGCTGCATCACAAATTTGGATAAAAAGAGCACCCGGATGGCCGTCTGGGCCGCGTATGGCAGACAGCAGAAAGTCTGCATCGTCGAAAATTCTTTGGTCGTCCGAGATCTTGGTCACTGACTAACAACGTCGCGAACCAGCAAACAAAGCCAGCCACTTTTCATATCGTAAAACCAGCAATCAAAGCCAGCAGCGTTTCACCTGAATCAGAGCATCGTAGAGGGAGAGGTCCGTCGGGGGCGTGCGAATGACAACGGGATGAGTGTGGTTGCCCCCTTCCGCCAGACGCCGCGTGTCGCAGTGGTGAGAGTCCCTGGAACAGGGCACTTCGTTGGAGAATTCGTGACCAGTCAGGCTGGTGTAGTATTGCTGCGATGACGTCGGGGGGGGGTGGGGGGCAGTGGTGTATGGCCGTGCGAACGCACTCAAATCAGAGAAAAACATCGTGGGTTGCTACAGACGGTCTTTCGCGTCGACCCTGTCGTAGATAGGCGGTGTCGGTCCTGGTAATTTGTACCTATCGTTTTGCATGTTGCTTCTCCGCGATTCCATGAGCTGATCCCGGGCAAAATCCACGTTGCTTATAGTTCTGGGCCCGTGCCCCATACGTGTTTATACAAGTCGAGTACCACGGCAAGCACAGGTAAGCTAAACCTTGCTGTCTGCAACACGTCAGCTCGGCACCCGCCCAACCCAGGCTGCTACTGCTCCGGTTGAGCAAACTCAATGCAAGGTTGCTGAGCCTCGCGAGTGATATCGCGGTCTTGTGCCACTGCGGCATAAACTGACCCTCTCCCCCTCGCCCTCCCACCCGTTATTCTGTGCATGCATATCGTACCTGAAGCCCCGAGACTCGATCTCGCTGACGAATCTGAGCGACTCTGGAGAAATTCAGCGGGTTGTTCTGCATGTCCAGTAAAGCCAGAAACTGCTTTGTCAGCACCTGCCGGAGGAGCATCAATCATCCACAACACGATTCCGCTTCCTAAAGATTGCCGGAGGAATGTGTGGCGTATCAGGGGTAGTGTGCGACTATCGCCGGTCAGCGACGTCCAGGTCTTTCAAAACGTATACTTCTTGCTACAACACTGCTACCGCCCGCGTACCGTACCTTCTTGACCATGTTGTGAATCTTCCCTGACGTATGTTGCCGAAAGCCGCCGCATTCTGGCCGAGCGAAAAACGTGGAGAATTTTGCCCCCTGTTCGGCGGAGATCGGGGTGTGGAGCCCCAGCGCGCACCGCTGTTGAGCGACCACTTCATCCAGCCACGTCTTCAGAGTCGCGAACTCCGAAAGACTCTCGTTGGTGTCAAGTTCCTGTTCCAGGTTGTGACCGTGCTTGTCCATGAGCGGCCTTGGACAGCCCTTCTTTGTGTTGCTATATGTTTTACGGGGAAGGGGGTAAAAGACAATGCGGCGGGAAAATTTTGAGAACCAGTAGTGCCATTCACCCTCCGAGGGTTCCGGTTTCATTGGGGGTGATCAAATGACAATCCGCCATCAAGGAAAGCGAGCTCGACCGCAACACCGGTGATTGATCGTGCCCAGCCCGGTATCTTTCACCTATAAGGGCATATCCGTTCGCCTTTTGCGGTAGGGGGGAACCCCCACGGCGAGAACTGGTACGCCTTGATCTCGAGGAGGCGAGGATCGACGTCCCTGAGGAGTGCAAGAAACCTGCGTTTGGCCATGATCGCTGGGGTGCCTCGGTAGCTGTGCCACATTCTCAACACGGTCTTCTCGAAAGGTGTCGACCATTCTGTGTCTGCACAGTCGCCAGACGTAGCTTGCTTGTGTATCGCGTTGATGCGGGCCTGTTGTAGCGCGGCCGATGGACAAAGAGACGAGCGTGCGCGTGTCTCTAACAATTAGTCTAACAATGAAAAGAGAAGGTTCCCCGGTAGGTTGCAAATAAATCAATGTGGTCCTCCAACCGGGAACAGCTACATATATACATGCAGAACAGCTGAAGCACCAAAACAGCGCAAAACCGAAAGTAGAGCTGCGTACACAGTTCAACTGGGTATTGCAAAGGCGTGGGCGCCACAAGGGTCAGGACACCTAGCTAGCTAGATAGCACATGTTCACATGTTGCAGTTGCGGGGAGAGCCACGCTGTGGAGCAAGTAACGAACGTTACATATAACCCCACACACTCACCAACATATTTCCTTTAGGTTTTTCTCCATGGTACGTCCGCCAGTTATTCGTAGCAAACACGAACATAGCATCTAGATGTTTAGGTTCCGTGGGCAAGGTTCCTGGCGCGCAGTCAGGAACCAGGGCTTGTGTCGCTCGATCTACCTGTCGCCAGGCCTCGACGTCGAGGTCCCCATCGGTTGCCCGTATCATGATCTGTGACACAAGTGGGCAAGAAAGCCACCCCCTCGGAGAGAAGCGAGCGGGCTCAAGGTAAAAATTCTTCAGCTCGTCGTATGCCTCACATGCGCTCCCCTTTCACGCATGCTGCTGGCCCAAATGACGGCCGTCGCTCTCCCACGTCGCACGTTGTATGCGTGGTATGCGCGGCGCAGGCGGCGCAAACGAAACCTGGGGGTTCGCTGGGTGAAATTTACCCGACCTGGCCCCTGCCAACCGCTATCCATGTGCGCCCGTGTTGTAGAAGAAGAGCGAAGGGCGGACAGCGGGAGAGCCAACCTCTGTCCTCCGGTCCTTCTTCCTCTCCCTCTCTCTCCCTCCTCTACGGCAGTTCGTTAGGCCCCACGATGCGCACCTTTAACGTGGCCGCTCTCAGTGCAGGTGATGAGGCAGCACTTTCTGCGTCGTTCGCTACAAGCAGTACGTAGTACGTCGGCAGAATGTTTCTCGTTGAGTTCAACCCGCAAAACGTCAACACGCGGTGTTCCCCCACACCTACTCACGCTGCTACAGCAACTGCAACAACAGCGCTGGGCTACTCCTCCTGTGGCGCACAGCGGTTGCGTTGCGTGCCTATAGAGTTGCGGTTTGCCCTGGGAGCAAACAGGTTAGAGGTGTGAGGGATGTTGGGTTCATCTCGGGGTCTCCCGAATCATGTTTGTCTATGTTGACGTGCTGTGCTTCCCTCTCCCTTCACCCGTTGCCGACGCCGCCGTCCTCTTACAGTATATCCCCCGGCATGGCAGTCCTCATGCCGTTGTATTAATCGGGCCAGAGCAGTCCTCGTTAGCACGCTTCTGTTCGTTGGGGGATGTGTTTTACTGCTTGCCTTCGTCCCTTAGGCTGTGCGAACGGCTGGCGCACCTGCTGCGCCTTTGAGACGTTGACTATTCCCACATCCCGGCACCCCCGCCCACGTCCACCCTGCTTGCTCCGCACCAACCCGACCCCCCCCCTTCAGGAGCAGCAGCCGCTGGCTTCATGTCATCAGCCGATGGCTTCATGTCGCCAGCAGCCGCCTTCCTCTCTGCGGCGGGCCGGGCAACAACAGCTTCCGCGACAACAAGAAGAACACCGCGGGCGCCAACGGCGATGCTTTCGTACGCGGACAAGCTGCGGGAGGCCCAGGCGGCCAAGGCAGCGAAGGCGGCGGGCGGCCAGGCTTCGCCCCTCTCTCCCGAACCGGCATCAACACCACCGCCAGCAGCAGCAGCAGCAGCAGCAGCAGCAGCAGCAGCAGCATCACCCCCTGCGCCTCCTAGCGGTGGTGCTATGCCGCAAGTCGCGGAATCTCCGTTCTCGGAGAGCCTTCAGGAGGAACTACGAGTCGCCATCAAGATCCTCGCGGCGAGGTTGCAACGAGAGAAGCCCATGAGCCGCCAGGAGTTCGAGAGGTTCGAGTCCGCCGTGGGCGTCATCGTCGAGGTATAGTCTGTGGTTGTGGTTGTGGTTGTGGATGTGGTGTGCAAGCAAGCAGCACTCATCGTGTGTGCGTAAGGAGGACAGCAGTGCTGATCGGTCTTCTTGGCATTTACCACCGTAGACACAACTGGTGCGAGTATGGGTAGGTGTAGGTGCACAACTGGTGCGAGTATGGGTAGGTGTAGGTGTATGTCCTACTGCTGTAATAAGTTGACTACTTCCCGTCTTTCGATTTGCGCCTGCCGCCTAGGCAGCTCTACTGCCTATCTATGTAGAACTGCTTGGATAGTTCAGTTGCGCCCGACTCTCTTTTCGGTTCAACATGGGATCCGTACACACAGGCAAGGGTAACGACGCCAGGTTTTGAAACATCCCCCCCGTCTCCTAGACCAACACCCCCTCTGTCTTTCATGTTCGTCTTCTTTGGCCGCTCCCTGTAAAGGATGCCCTGCCGTTGCAGAAGCTGCCTTCGCCGGCATCCCCGGCAAGCCCTGAAGCGGCGGCGGCGGTGGCGGCGGCCCCTCCGCGACTAGCGGTGACGCAGTCCCCCGTACCCAACGCCGACAGCGATGGAGACGATGATGATGACTTCGAAACGGAGGGGCCAGAGTGGGATGCCGAAAAGGTACAGTACGGTCTGCCGATGGGAGCGCGGAACACGTACGACATCGACGACATGGAGAAGATGAACCCGGAAGAGTACCAGGCAGCGCTCAGGCGAGTGTGTGTGGGTTGGTGGGTATCTTTTTATTATCGGCATCGACCGCGCTAACCGGCTGACCAATGAAAAGACGGCACTCTCAGTGGGGTTGAAAACACCACACGCTGCTAAATACGTTTAACTGGGACCCCGTGAGGGTGTGTGTGTGTGGCGTACATTCATGTGTGACACGAGGATAATCCCTCCGTTCTGTGCCCATGCATGGAAAGGTTTGTACTGCATGCTGTGACGACGCCAAGAGGTGTTCAATTCCCAGCCAATACTTTTCGTCTGTTGGAGGGTGTCTTTCTCACACTACATGTGCCGGGTTCCCTAATTTATGGAGAATTCTGCATGGTATCCTGTGACTGATTTACCCCAAGGCGTGCACGTAACGACGTCGTAGTTTTCGTAGAGGAATGGCCGTGTATCACGGCTTCATTGCGTGTCCATATGTTGACACATGTTTTCATTGGCTTGAATTCTTGGTGCTGCCCCCGCCCGCCCCCCTGCCCGCGCGCCATGGTCACATTGTTTTGGCGTCCGAACAGGGAAAAGGTGGTGGAGAGAGCGCAGTCCGTACGAAAAACGGGATCATACGGGTGAGTGGCGCTTTTCGAACCGGCGTTTTTGCTTGCAGTAGTACACAGCAGTCCAATTTTGAAGCGACTCTGAGTAGCACTCTTTAGCCGAACGGTGGAAGGCGCGGTTGCAAGACTTAACGACTTTGGGGAAGGAGGCGTGGCTTGCCTCACGGCAGCCTGCCCTCCCCTCGTGTCTTGGTTTCTTTTGCGGCCCAACCAGCCTCTCGCACCGTAGTGGTGTACCCGGCTCTCTCTTCCTGTTGGGCTGATCGAGCCCACCCGCCATTTGCAGCATCGTGGGAAACTGCTGTAGCATACTATTACCAAGCAAACTGCCAACAACGGGGTTGTGGCGACACGCGGCCTAAGATTGGCTCTCTCCCCTCTTGGGATACGGTCGTAGAACTCGCTCTTGGTTTGGTTGTGTGTGGCCGTCCTTGCGTGTGCATCGCCCATGTTCGGACCCGACCGAATTTTTCGTGGGTTTGGCGCCGTGTGCGTAGCCGCTTGTTTGCTCCCAAAAGATGCGATCGTGCTACTGATGCAGCAGCCAAAAAGCCCATCAACAAGAGCGGGTACATGCGTACGTCACGTACTATTCGTTGATTAATGACTTGGTGCACGCTTCGTTCGGTTTTGTACGCATCTCGTATCAAGCGCACACCTGTCCAACTTCACTGACACCCTTCCCGCGTGAGTCTGCAGTTATCGGGTGCTTATCCCCCCCCTCTCCAATGGTCTACCAACTACGGCATGCGTTTACATGAGTACACCCCCCGCTGTCTGGTTTTTGCACCTGACTCGCACGCACAATCTACGCACCCCTCCTTTTTTTCTCATCCACCGCCCCCCGTGGTGATTTGCTCCTACGGTATGGATACAGAACAACCATGGGCATGTTCCTCGTTTCCATACATGCACCGGTGGGTGTCGTCGTGGGATCATCTTGACTCTTGCTTCGCCTCATGGACCTCTTTCATCGTGGTATGTATGTTTGTTTTGCATGTTTGCTTTCAGGAACATTGTCTCGAACGAGTATCTAAAGTTTTTGGGCAAGAACCCCAAGACCGGCGACGAAAAGTTCAAGAAAAACGAGGAGTTTGTGAAGAGCAAGGGTCGCGAGGATTTCCGGTCGTACGGACGGAACGCAAGCGCAAAACAATAAGAGCTACTACTCATGCCGCAAGTGGTGTTTTGTGTGCCATCGTGGTGCTGATTCCGGCTCGTTCACCGAAGGGCTGACTACGGTCGGGTTGGGAAACACTTGCCATCAAAGACAATCGGTGCGGCTGCCGCGGCAGTGTGGAGCCGCGGTTCAACGGACGATCGAAGAGTGTCAGCATCTTTACGTTTAGCCTGCTGCTGCTGTGGTTTAGGTACGGTGAGAGGAGAGGGCGTTTGCTCTGTTCCTGGGGGTTGGGCCTTCGAGCACGGTGCACATGCTCCCCTTGACATGTCTTCTCTGGGTGATTGTGTGATGGTGATTGGTGTCTCGCCGGAAGAACTGTGGACGGAACACTGTGCTGCCTTCGTTACATGCTGACGTCTGCGGTGGGTGGTGGTTGCTGGGCAGTGACCTTGACCGGGGTATTGCTATAAGAAAGGGTTCAATTTTGTGTTTCATTGTCACTCTTGCAAGCCTGGTCTTTCGTCAGAGACCGAACAAGAAATTATGCAGGAGGACGGGGCCGAGAAGAGCCAAGGGTCCCAATGCAGCGAAAGCAGCCCTTGGGAAGACTTGCGGGAATACAGATGGGATACCCGGGGTACAAAGAATCGATGACGCGGCATGAATCGTTATTTGAGCTGTCCTGCTTACCACGGGCTGTTGAAATGGCCCGAGCAATTGTGAGCGCTCGTGAGGTTTCCTTTTCAGGGGGGCGTTGCGAGGCGAACCCCGTCTTGCGTCCCGGACGGACTGCTAAGGGCCGTGCGCCGAGGCGTGTTTCTGTCATGATGACGTCACGACCTGCTGCTGGCGAGACGAGGCCACTCTCTTTCCGTTTCAACATCTAAGCTGCCGAGTTTTATCTTGGATGGAAAAAGCACCGCAGGAAAAGGATCTACAGAACTGCTTGTAGATTCAGCTTGATGGAGGTCGCTCGATAATTAGCACCGCAGAGGGGCATCTTGAGGATTGCAACCGATAAAGGGATGGATGCGTGCCGGCTCCAGTGGACAAAGGCGGGCCTGCTGTCTTTCCGTTCGTCGCCAAGCGGCTAGACTATAGACCTTTCGAGAAAGGGATTCGTGTGTCTGTCGATGTCTACATGTAAGTCACGACCGATATAACCACCCTGAACTTGACAGTCCGATTCGTGTGATCTTGTTATCGCCTCGTGTGCGTTTCACCACGTGAAAAGAAACAGCGTGTCAACGGCACAGCGTGTCAAGGGCAGACACGCTAAGTCTCCACACGAAATGATGTTCCAGGTATATGAACAGTACCGAGCTTGCCGGGGCGTGAGGATTATCCTCGCGTCACAATCCCCTGTTGTTTTGCAGGGTGGCGAGATTTCGTTCGTACAGGCTGAGGCAGAGCGAGACTACTGTACATCTTCCATGAAGAACATTGGAATCCTTGCTTCTGCCGTCGCACACCATTGCGTTCTAACGCTAATGGGTAACTTGGTGAGGTACTTGGTTACTCGTTGGTCCCTAGGCACACATCGAACAAGTCCGAGGCTGCAGAGTTGCTCGCTTCTCGACCAATCGCCACACCATCGTCAGTCAGTTCGTGGGTAAGGCATAACACCGTTAGGTGCGTCTCGGCGCTGGCGATGTTCGATTTCAGCTGCAGGATCTAACCGCACATGGCAGATGAGTGTGGCAACGTCACAACGCATAGTAGTCAAGTCAAGTGTCGAGGCACGAGAAAGGAGGTGAGACCTTCGTAAAGCACTTAATTCTACCAATCAAGGCACACGGACAAATGTTGAACGAAACGAAGGACGGGGAAGCGGCACTTTAGCATTTGGATTCCTGGCACAAAAACTCGAGCAACACATGGTTGAAGAAATAGAGCAGTTTCACCAGCTCATGTGTTTCGGGCACTCGGTTAGGTACAGGAGTCCGCTACAGATGGAAAGGAACTCATCCATCCGTCGCTCTCAAAGACGATATATCTCTCTCTCTCGCTCATCCCATCGTATCCCCGACACCAGCGCGCATGAATCCCTCCTCGTCTCTCCTGCTGCGTGTCGTCCTGGCGCAACGGGGTTTGTAACAGTCGACTGCCTCCAGTGTACGTACTCTCCGTACTGGACTGCCCCCCAACCTAACAGCTTGTCCATTCTGTCCACCTTCGTACTTCGAGCCCTGCCGTCTCGCGGAGTCCAAGCAGCAGCTTGCTCATGCGTCCTCGCAGCGATGTGCGCTAACGTAATAAAAGCATATAGCTCTGTTCCCAGCTCCCAGTTGGTATACTGGACCTCTCCCACCCGCACCGGGGAGGAAACCTATGTCATCGGACCGGTCTCATGTGCTGCGCGAAAGCCTGCCAAGCAAGGGGCGGGCGGGGCGGGTAGGTTGACGGGACGGACATACGTCACTTCTTTGAACATATCTTACACTTGTCGCATGCGGCGTGTAGTGGTGCGCGGGAAGGTACACTCCGAGGCATGCATGGCCCTGGCATATTTATGTTTCCGACGCCGGAACGATGCACGCTATACTAGGTGTTCGCCGACTAGGGTTCTGGAGAAGGCTGGGCTGGGCTCCGACTGTCACGGAGATAAAAAAACCAACACCAAATTGGGTGCCAAGGGCCACCGGGGTGTACCTGCCGTTGTCAAACACTTGCACGGCAACTACGGGGGCGCGGCTGCGTCCCGGTGTAACAAAGTCATGATAGCAAAAAAATCAAAACAGGTGCCTAAAAGGGTGGCGTGTTTCGAAGGGTCTTTCTACTCACCTTGAGAGCGGCCGCTATGGCGGGTCCATCTGCGGCCCCTTCCACGGCTAGCTGCAACTGCTCGGCCACCTGCCGTGTTCGTCGCGACACGCAACAAAAGAAAAGCAGCGAGGAGACACCGCTGAGACTCGACGCGAAGAACGACGACAATAGAGGTGAGCGTGCGGGCATCAACGAGTCTGGCAGACCGAAGGACAACCTCCCCGCGGCAAAAGACACGGTACGGGACACACGCGCAAAAGAAAACGCATATACAAATCCCGTACGACGAAGCCACGACAGGCAGGTTTCTCCCGCATACCCCCGCAGAGGCTCCACGAAACAAACCCCTTCCTTCCTGCTGCACACGCCCATACCTGCGGGGTACAGCTGCACGCCAGCGCGGCGACGCCGACGAATCTCGCCGAGCCGCCGCTGGCCTCCCTGGCCTCCTTCAGCAAGGCTCCCATGTTCACGATGGCGCTCATGGCGGCCGCGTCCCTCAGGTCGAGCCCCGTCGGCGGCGCACCGTCCACCAGGCACTTGAGCGCGGCGGGGACGGCCCGCTCGCAGACGAACGCCGTGACGGCAGACTGAACTCCGGGCTCCATGTCCACCGTCGGACCCGACCCCGTCCACAGCCCCCCGCCCTTCCCCGACAGCGCTCGCCGTTGCGTGGCGGCCGCCCGCAGGCCCTTCTTCGTCCCACCGCCCACCGCCGCACCACCGGCCGGGCCGTTGGCGGAAGCACCACCCTCCCCGGCGGCGGCCGCGGGAACTCCCCCGCTTCGACCGCGGTTGAAGCCGCCCAAGAGGAGGGAGAATATGTAGAGGCAGGTCTTCTTTGTCGAGGCGTCCTCGGCGCCGGAGAGCCCGTCGACCACCGACCGAAGCACCCCGTCCAGGTGGGGCGCGTTTGTCGGGGAAGAGAGCACGCCGGCGAGGCCGTTCGACGAGACGTGCTGAATCACGCTGAAGCACAGCTTCTGGAACCCCGCTCGCTCGGCCACCTCGTGCGCGAGCAGCTGCTGCGCTTCCGCCCCCGCTGCCCCGGCCCCACCGCCGGTAGCAGCAGCCCCGTCTGCCGCTGCCGCGGCGGCTGGCAACTCTGCCGTCGTCCCGTTCGGCCACCCGTCTCCCCCCGAATCTGACCCCTCCCCGCCGGCTTGCTGTTGAGCGCCGCCGCCGTTTGCGGCAGCGGCGGCGGCCGCCGCGGTGGTGGAACCAGCGCCCGGGGTGAGCTGGTACGTTCGGCGAATGAACGGCATTAGGGCGCCGTCAAGGAGCTGGGCTGACTTCGGGCCGTACTCGATGGTGAGCTGGTTCAGGACCTGGGCAACCTGCGGTGGCCCCAACCAGCGGAAGCGTGCACAGGTTGCAGCAGTAGTGGGGCAAAGGATAGGGAGGGGCGGTGGCGATAAGCACGGGGGCGAGGTGTGTGCGGCGAAGGCAGATCTGCCAATCACCGGCGCGGGACTTTGAACAACGCCGTCGGGTTTTTTATTTTTTCTGTAGCACGACCAAAACCGTTCGGCGGCGGTGCATCGGCCGCCAGGCACAGTGCGAGCGGCCGACCCTTGCAAACAGCAGAGCAGGGAGAAACTCTGCCCGCCAACAGCGACAGCAAGAGGAGAAAATCAACAACAACAACCACAACAACAACAACAACATCCGACAGCAGCGACAGCAGGGACAGCAGGGGGGGGGGGTACTCTAATGTTTTGCTTGCCTTAGCGGTTACACCATTGACTACGCGTCCTCGAGAGGACGGAGCATTGTCCCCACAGGACCGATCGCCGATGGCCAATCGCTCCTTCCTATTTTGCCAAAGGTGGCTCGAAAATGTCTTCCCTAGTCTGTCTATCCTAACGATATCCCTTCCCGCCTCTTCAAACCACTTCCTACTCCCCAGTACAGCTACCGTCCTCTCCTCTCTATTCCATGCCTCGAACATCGACGTACACTTCCCAGCTCAGTCATGTACACTTCCCTCTCCGTATTGTACAGCCGACATTCCGCGACTACATGAAGACGGTCTTCGCATGCGAAGCCGCAATCACATTTGAACTTGTCGTCTTCGTCGTCTACCGTCCTATGTCTTCGTCGACGTTCTCGAAGGCCTATGTCCCCGGTCCTGAATTTGGCCTTAAGCTTTGGCCCTTCATCCGTTGGTCCATGTAGGTAATCCTTGAACCCTATTCCTTCTTTCCAACATTCCATACACTTCTAGACCCTCCTTATCCTTGGTTTCTTTCCTTAGATTCTGTTCTTCTCTCTCGGCACAAGCAACAGATATCTTCTCCTTGCACCACCGGAGGACCCTCCGTTTCCAGCGTTTCATCTTCGTCGATGTCTAACCCCTTCCATGCGTCCTCTACAACCTTGACCCATTCCGTAGGTTGTCTACCCCTCTTTTTATTTGCCCACTTCGCCTCCCATACTATTCTCGGCAACCTGTCCTCTCCCATCCCGCACATGCGATACTGCCATGTCAGCTTCCTTGCGTCTCTTCCCGATCGTAGGGATTGGATCCCCAATTCTGCCCTGACGGCTGCATTACTTGTGCGCTTGGAGCATCCTAGGATGCTTTTCGCTGCTTTCATCTGCGCCGCCTCGAGCTCTTTCACTACCTTCTTATTTCCTTCCCATACTTCTCCGGCGTACTCTAGAGGCGGTACGATTACGCTCTTCAAAACCGTCAATTTGACCCCGTGTATCGAAGTGCCGGATTGCGAGTATTGGGTGCAGCTTCCCTGCTCGTGCTTTGCCCTTTTCCGCTATCTTGGACATGTGTGCATTCCACGAACAGTCGTTTGCGATCTCTACTGCGAGGTATGTGCACTGGTCCACTACTGCAATCTCCCTAATCCCCACTTCCATCTATGTTCTACTGGTTCCTGCCTGACCTCGTTGCATACCATGACGGCACTCTTCTTAACGTTGGCAGACAATCTCCACATATCAGTAAACTTCTTCGCCGCGTCAATTTGTAGTTGCAGTCCCTCAGGGGTATCCGACATACCAACAACATTATCCTCAAACAGCATTCCTGACACCGAAGTTTCCGTGTCCCCTGCTCTCTTCTACCTTGGATGATTCTCCCTACCGTGAATGCGTGGTCTACGCACCCCCTCTTCTGTCGGAAACCTGCCTGGCCCTCACTAATGCTACGTTCCTTCTCCAATACTCCCACTATCCTATCGTTCAGCAGCTTACAAAACACTTTTCCTACTGTGTTCAACAGTGTGATACCCCTGTAGTTTCCTGGGTCAGTCTTGTCTCCTTTCTCAAACAAGTTCACAACCACTCCTTCCCTCCATCTACTTGGCGCATACTCGTTTTTCCACACCCAGTTGTACAGCAGTACCGTCAGCTGGATCATCCCCTTCCCTCCAAACTTCATGAACTCGTCGACTATCCCATCCGCCTCTGCTGCTTTGTGGCACTGCAGCTTGTTCACACACGCCTCAACCTCGTCCTCAGTGAACTCCTTTTCTAGTTCTACGTTCCCAACATCTGCCTTCGATGTCTCTTCTTTTTTCTGGGCCCATGCGTCCACCTCCTTCTTGAACACTTGGTCAAATCTTCATTCTCCGAAGGCACTCCAAGTCTCTTGTAATGTCCTGCTAGAACTTCCCTTTTTCCCTCCCCACTGCTGACTAGTCCACTGTTCAGCAGGAGAAGAAAAAAAAAATCAAACCTTAAACAACGCAAACGCTTCCTCTTTCGGGTAAGGAGTCATGGTTCACGCACATACGTACGTACCTCCATCAGATCCTTGCCGTCGCCCTCTTGCACCAGCACGAGCAACGCCGACAGCGGCAAGGCGCGCAGCAGGCCTTCGCCCAGACAGGGGATGAGCCCGTGCACGAGGAACATCGTCTTGGCCCGGAGAGCCACGTGTCGAGGAAAAGACATCAGGGCCGACGTCGCCGCCTCCAACGCCTGGAAAAAAGAAAAAAGAAAACGGTGTTGAGCGCGTGGGGGTGAGAGCGCATGTGTGCGTGCGTCTGACTGTGTGTGCCAACAGCAACAAGATTTTCCTTGCTGCTTGGAGACTTTTTGAAGTGTTACTGCCTGTGGGGATCAAATGGCTCTCCGCCTTGAACCTCGAAGGCGGAAAGGCGACGTAACACCGGCGAACGATGCACGCCGACTGATCCTCGACCGCTTCTTGCTGAGTTCCAATATCGAGGCACCAAATGCGGAGACAGCACGCACGCACACACACGCTTTTTGCCCCTTCCAACGAAGGGGTTGACCCTGGCGAGGTTGCAATCTTTTCGAGTCGATGCCAATCAAGTAACAGCTGGTGCTTGTTTGGTCGCAACACTTACCATCACCATGCAAGCTTCTTGTCACGTAGGGTCACGACAATGCGTGCGCACCAGAGCGGGAAAGGCAGACAGACGTCCACACCGCAGCGTAACGTGGTACGCCAACGGTTACAGGCGACTGCGCAGCCGTGGTCTTACCCACGACAATGTCACGTCACGTCACGTCGCGTCCGCCTCTCCCAACATAGTGATACATGGTCTACCATACCGGCTCGGACCTACAGAGTAGTTGTTGAATACACGGCTGACTAGCTGGAACAACCGAAAAGCACCACGACCAGTCCTTTACCCCCCCATCCCCCCCCTTCTCTGTGTATCTCTCTCTCTGCCTTCTATCTCTCTCTGCCTTCTATCTCCATCTCTCTTTCCATATATGTCTGTCCACCTGTCTCTCCCTCAATACATGGACCCACCTGAAAAAACCTCGCCTCCACCTCCGCCGCAACCACCGGCTTGAAACCCTTCGAAACGTTCGCCATGGCGCCCACGCCGGCCGCAAGCTCCGCCCCAATCGCATCGTCACCACCCTTCTCACCCTCGCCAACCAGCCCCGCCCCTCCCCCCGCGCCCGCCGACGCTGCCCGCTGCAGGTTTTCGGCAATTCTCCTCATCTGGGGCCCCAAAACGCCGTCGAGGAGTTGCACTTGCTTGGGCACCGGGACGGTGGGCATTCCCACCAGGAAGCCGATGGTTTCGTACAGATTGAGCTTGGCTTCGTCCGACAGGTCCATGGGGTTGCCTTGCGGAGAATCAAGGAGAGCTGCAGGGTCCGAAGGGGGGCGAACCGAATTTTGGGGGCCGGGGTGAGCCGTAGCATACAACGTAGCACCAGAAAAACAGAAACAACAATAAAACCGAAGTTGCCATAATGCACACCGCCTCGCAGCTACAGGACGCCCAGGAAGGGATCGCCGCTGAAGCACCTGGCGCCGCAATTATCGCACAGCTCACTTGCGTGCAGGTAGGCAATAAACGTAGACGCGAAAGGCGTAGAGGGTGGCATCAACAGCCGAGGCGGTGGCTGTGGTGGGGGCGGCGCAGAAACCTGATTTGGCTTGCGCAAAGGGGATTTGAGTTCCATCAGAATCAATTTCGATAGGGCAAACTCTGTCGTGTGGAAATGCTGTTCTGCTCACATCCATTGAAACCCTGACGGGACAGAGCGGGCCTTGAAAAAAAAAAGGACATCATCCACCAAAATACAACAATCAACCCTAACCCTAAAGCCCGGACGACAGAGGCAAAGCAAACAAGCTTTCACTTTACCACCCGGGCTCGTGGTGGCCGCGGCAGCGAAGAGCGGAAGAGGTGCTGGCTGGTGTCGCGATTGACGACAAAACACGACAAAAAAAAAAAAACGCGCACAACATTGCAAAGTTCGACACTCACAGAGACCACGAACCCCTCCCCCCCCCCGCCTTTTACCTTGGACTCCCGGAACGATGACGTCGACGTAGGGCACGACGCCCTCCTTCATCGCCTTTACGAGCTTCGTCAAGAAGTAGCACGACCGCGTCCGCAGGGTAACGTCCGCGTTGCTGAGCCCCTGAGGTCCGCAGATCGCCTCCAGAACCTGAAGTGCGTGCACGAGTCAAAAAAACAAGCCAAGCAGAGCCAACCGTGGGTGGCACGGCACCCTGACAAGGATTGCATCGCGCGTGCGCGGGATGTGCACTAAATACAT